CAGACATTGCATAGTTACTTTCTGGCTCTGGATGCCCTCTATGCCTGCCAGACCCCTGGTCATCCCTGCAGCCAGGACCCCCAGATCCACAGCTGACCCACACACTGGTCGTGTGGGAAATGGAGATCTGGGAACCTGGGTCCCCAGATCCTGAACAGATGCTGGTTCAGCTGCTGACTGGGCTGGTGGCTTTGCAACTGAGGAAGCCCAGGGTCTGGTAGTTTGTGGAGAATCCGGAACAGGTTCTGAAGCTCACGTTGTTCAGGAACAAAGGCCAATGTCTCATTAAAATATTTCTTTCAAAAATTTATTTATTGATTTAGATGTAAAGAGTAAGACAGAGAGAGAAAGGACAAGAGGAGGGGGTGGTAAGACAGAGAGAGAAATACCAATCTGGGTTCCCACTTTTTGATGCATTCGTTTAGTGCTTCTGGTACGTGCCCTGAATAGACAAATACAAAACAACCTGAAAACAATTAATTAAATGGAAATAACTACATATCTATCAACAATTACTTTGAATGGAAATTGATTAAATGTTCCAATGATATGACAAATGCATAAAAAGATGTGAAAAAGAGGGATCTGAAGATGGCAGGGAGACAGGTGTGAGCAGAGTCTACCTCCTCCTGCAAAGAGTTGAAACACCTATTGGATCTTCTGAGGAACAGAGTGAACAGCCAACAGTACTCCAGCATATATGAAGATTGGAGTCCAAAAATTATAGCGGACATTGAAAAATCAGACAGTGAGAAGAGTGTTTCAGGACAGTAAGATCCCTGGGATGAGCACAGGGACCAGGGCAGCTGCAGCCCCAGGTCCAGCACCTGCTGGGTCCACTGCAGGATTCTTGGGAGAGAGCCAAGTAAATGGCTCTCTTCCCTGCCAGACAAGTTTTGAGCAGCAGCAGGAGAGACTTGGTTGCTTGGAGTTGCAGCAAGGGGAATAAGGATGAAGTGGAAAACACATGGGGGCTATGAGCACCCACTGAGACTGTGGATGCCAGCTGGGGAGAAAAAAGAGTTTGCCCATGATGGGCTCTGACCTGAATATTCCCCAGACTAGTCAGAGAGGTTGGTCGCATGAAAGGCCACACCCTTATATGGAGTGTCAGGCTTGAGGAGGAGGAATTTTTCAAAAAGAAAAAGTGAAAAAAGAGACACTCCGCAGCTGTTTGGGAAATTCTCCTGCTGTAGCTGCTCCCGCCTTCTCCCCTCTAGCCCCACGGTGCTCCCCCAGTGGCACAGAAGGTCCCACGCCCACAACTGTAGCCCCGGGGAGAGTGCACACCTGAGAAGGCCCCCCATGCTCACACTCACAGCCCCAGGGAGAGTGTGCACCCAAACCTGCACCTGCTGCTCCTCTGGCCACACCTCCCTCCCATTTCCACCGCCCCATGTTTGTATCCATGTGTCCTTTACACTTGTTCCTGCAAACCCTTCCCCTTTTCCCCTGAAATTCCCTCTGCTCTCCCTCCTGGTCACTGTCAGCCTGTTCTCAATTTCAGTGTCTTTGGTTATATTTTGCTTGTTTGTTTTGTTGATTAGGTTCCTGTTAAAGGTGAGACTGTATGGTATTTGTCTTTTACTGCCTGGCTTATTTTGCTAAGCTGCTCATTTCTTAAATTTATTTTTCAGTTGCACTTGATATGCAGTATTATATTAGTTTCAGGTGTACAACAGTGATTAGACATTTATTTTTATTTTAATTAATTTTATTTAGTTATTTTTCAAGTAGAGTTTTTTGTCTATTTTTCTCTTCCCAGCCTCCCCCACCCCTTGCTCCCCACCTCCCTCCCATTTTCACCCCCCTTAGTTCTCCTCCCTGTGTCCTTCCTATTTGTTCCTCCAAATCCCTCCCCCTTTTTCCCCTTAAATTCCCTTCCCTCTCCCCTCTGGTCACTATCCCCTTGTTCTCTACTTCGGTGTCTTTGTTTTTTTTTTCTGCTTGCTTGTTTGTTTTGTTGTTTAGCTTGCTGTTACAGGTGAGATCATATGGTATTTGTCTTTCAGCACCTGGCCTATTTCACTCAGCATAATGCTTTCCAGTTCCATCCATGTTGTTGCAAAAGGTAGTAGCTCCTTCTTTCTCTCTGCAGCATAGAATTCCATTGTGTATATGTACCACAATTTTTTTAGACATTTATTTTTAATATATAATCTTTATTATATTTTTCATTGAGTCCCCTTGTACCTCCTTACCCCCAAAATCACCACCCATATCCATGAATCCTTTTTCTTTATTCCTGAATCTCTCCACCATCTAACCTCTCCCTAGTAGTTGCCCTTTGTTCTCCATCTATGAGTCTGTGGTAGTTTTGCTTGTTAGTTCAGTTTGTTTGTTAGGTTCCAAATACGAGTGAAATCATATGGAATTTATATTTATCTGACTGGCTTATTTCACTTAGCATGATAGACCTTTATATAATATAAAATATTATATTTATCACTCTGATCTTTATCACTCTGATAAATCCACTACCATCTGACATCATATATGGTCATTAAAATGTTATTGTTTATATTTCTTATGCTGTACTTTGCATTCCCATGACTATTAAGCCTCTCAATCCATTCAGTGAGCTTTGCTTCGGTGCAGCCATTTCGTGATAAATCCCACCTTCAAGTAGAAGGTGAAAATTAGAGTCCATGTGGAGATATTCTGCCCCACTAGGTGGTACAGAGAATTCCCCATTGTGTAAGTGTAAATGTGCAATTTACACCTTGAATCCTTTGAGGATCTAAGAAAGAAAAAATAATTTTATTAAAATTATAGTCCTTTTTTAAATCTTTGTGTCAAAATTCCTACATTCTCTCCATTTTGTGTTCACTCAAACATTCATTCTTTTTATTTTTATTCCCTACAACTTTCTCTCAAGATTTCTTTAGCATAATAAATAGGAACATATGTGATTCTGTGTGCATGTACATATATGTGTGTGAATGTCTCACACATACCATCTTGAACTTGAATATTGTCTTTGAACTCAACAGAGTATTTCAATACATTTCATTTACTCTGCAAAATATTTATTTGTAATTAGAATTTATTATCTCATATGACCATCAGAAATGAAGAAACCAGTTCAGGGCAATTACATTTTTAACAATAACATAACATAGGAGTTAACCCTTGTGCACCTTTGCAAAATATACAAAATGGGGTTGTGTAGTATAAATTCTTAATTTTTGTATGGCTCACTTAATTCAGCATGTTGTATGTCCTGTACATTGTATGTAATTGTGCTCCATTAACTAGTTAGGAATTAAACTTTCTAGTACAACATGGCTCAGGGTCACATCTAGAGCACAGGCAGCCAAGTCACCCCCAGAAGTGCTGGGAGAATCTCTTCTAACCAAGAAGAAAGCAAATGTTATATATCAATATAGGAATTAAAATAAAGCAATTATCATTTAATAAATTTATTTCCCCACAAATTAATGACTCACTTGCATTTGTATAGGGAATAAACTGACATGAATTGGTTCAGCAGAGAAGAGCACTACAGTCACACAGAGAATCATGAATGAGCCTTAGAGATAAAATAGAGAGACTGACAGCTGACTACAGACCAAGAGGAGATGATCAGAACTCAGAACAACTTACTACCATGTAATCTCATTGGTAATAAATGCATCATATTAAACCATTTGCTTCTAAGATGACATATTCATTGACAGCTAATTGATAACAATAATCATAGTGAACAGAACTGAAGGAAAATATCATAATCAGCCACTTGTCATTGTAGGTCTTTGTCCTGATATTGAAGATGGCATCATGTTTGTTCCTACTGAAATTTATTTCAAGTAACTGTGTTAAAAAGTGACTTCATTTTTATTCCCTTGTAGCTAAGCAAAAGAGATTGAAAGAACATGTATGTTTGTGCAACACTTATGACTGAGTCACAGAACTGACAGGAATTCAAGCTTTCTAGTTACTCATTGTTTGGTCATTTATGTATATATATGACATACCTATAGATCACAGATATAATATATAATGAATGAGATTGATATAGTTCTTTCCATACCCCTCAGTGGTTACACAATATTTACAGTAGGGGGAAATGCTTCATTTAGAACAAAGAGGGAATCATAATTTTAGGCAGCAATAAAAGTTTTCACATGGAGACAGGAAGACAATTTGATAGAAAACATAATTACACCAAGCAATACTTCACCCAATCATAAATTCCTTTACACACAGACACAGATCTTATATACATCGATAAGTAAACATATGACATAAAATAGTTTACCTAGTAATAAATGTATGACTTAAAATTTTGCTTCTTCACACTTAACGTCGCCTTTGACTCTAAGCACATGTTATGTCAAACTACATTATGAAATCTGTTTTCACCTCAATTAGAATTGGAGACATGATTTGACAGTGTTGCCTGTGACTATGGTAAGAATGTGGACACCAAGCTCAATAAGAATCAGGATCCTAATGAGGGAAGACAAGCCAATGGCCTGTTACTAAACACACTATATGTTGAAGTCTACACTTTCAGAAAGAGCAGTTACGGTAGTGAGATATGAAGAAATGATGTATGAGAAGTATTAAACTGTGATCTTCTAGTTTCCTCTCCGATGAAATGATATAAATGGCTTTGGTTACCAAGTGCAGTATAATTCCATAGGAGTAGTGCATCTCAAGGTGTTTCTTTTAGTGAAACAAAATAAAAATTGCTCAATAAGATATATTTCATTTCAAAAGAAATTGGTCATAAGAAATCCAAGTGGTCTCCACAAGATGAATGGGAGCATCCAAATATTTCATCCAAGGCTGGGAATCAATTTCAAAGAGGAGAAAAATAGCAAAGAAAAAACTTTTATATATTATAAAGTTGAAAGTTAACAGTGATTCACTTAAATATTATAGAGAAGTTAAAATCACAGAAACACAAACCTGAGGAAATAAACAGAGTACTTCCTACTTTCACAGTATGATCAGAGTCATAATATTTGGCTCTGTGGCTTTTAGCCCTATAATCATGTGCATTTCCTCAGCCCTAGGACAAATGGTTCTTTTTTAGCTGCCACCCTAAGTAATCTTCTCAGAGCCCCCTTTATGTCTCTGTTCCTAAGACTGTAGATGAAGGGGTTCAGCATGGGTGTGACCACAGTGTACATCACTGAGGCTGTTGCACTGGACTGTGAGCTGTGGGTACCAGTAAAGCCGAGATACACGCCTAGACTCGTACCATAAAATAAGGAGACAACTGAGAGATGAGATGCACAGGTGGAAAATGCTTTATACTTCCCCTGAGCTGATGGGATTGCTCGTATAGAGGACACTATCTTAGAGTAAGAGTAAAGGATTCCAGCCAGAGCACCACCACCTAGCAGCCCAGCTGAAAAATATATCACCACATCATTAAGAAAGGTGTCAGTACAGGCAAGTTGCACTATATGTTTGATATCACAAAAAAAGTGGGGGATTTCCAAGTCTGTGAAGAAGGACAATTGCAACACCATCAAGCATTGTAGCAAGGAATTCAGAGCACTCATGACCCAGGACACCAGAACCAGGAGTTTACAGAGCTGGGGAGTCATGGTAACTGTGTAGTGCAGAGGGTTACAGATGGCCACAAACCGGTCATAGGCCATCACAGTCAGGAGAAAGTTGTCCAATCCTGCAAAGCATAGGAAGAAATACATCTGGGTGATGCAGCCTGCATAGGTGATGGCTTTGTTCTCTGTCTGGATGTTCAGCAGCATCTTTGGGATGGTGGTGGAGGTGAAACAGATGTCTACCAAGGACAGGTTGAACAGGAAAAAATACATGGGAGTGTGGAGGTGGGAGTCTGAGCTGACAGCCACTATGATGAGCAGGTTTCCCAACACAGTGATCAGGTACATGGAGAGGAACAGGCCAAATAGGATGGGCTGCAGTTCTGGTTCCTCTGATAATCCCAAGAGAAGAAATTCTGACATTTGTGTAAGATTCACTGCTTCCATTTGGTACACTTGACTACCAGGATATAGGAAGAGTACATGACAAATTTTCACACATGCAAACATTAGTAACCTAGCCTAAGCACTACTATTTATATTTTAGAACCAAGAAATTAGTTCCATATTGGTATGTGGTCTGGTATTTTTTAGGACATCCCTAGTGTTGTTTCTCATTAGAATTTTTTTTCTGTGTAAAAACACATGAAGAATTCTTGTGTCTTACTCAATCTTTTTAGCATGAAAAATAAGAGTAAAAAGTCAATTTATTTTATGTAACACATATCATGGTGACTCAAGTTAATAATGCTATCACGTATTCAAAACTTGCTGGAGAGGAGAGTTTCAAAATCCTTTCACAAGAAAAAATCCTTTCACTGTGTATGGTGACTAATGTTAACTACACTTAGTGTGGAGGTCACTTTGTAATATATACGAATATGGAATCAGTATGTTGTACATCTGAAACTAATGTAATGTTTTATGTCTATTATAATTTGAAAACATTGCGTGTTTATTGGTTGTTATGAGTAAGAGTTTTCAAATAGGTGTTTATAATTTTCAAAGTTCTATAATGTTTTTGTTTCCATTATTTCTCTTTTGCCCAAGAACTGCAAAACCTTTATATCTGAATTTTTCCCTGTGGTCTAAATAACATTTTAATAAGTTATTTGCTTAAACTAAAAAATTATACTTCAATAAAAAGCATTTTTGAAAAAGCAATGGAGAGAAAACTATGTCACTGAATGACAGATTGGACCGCACAAAATTTATCAACTTTATGCATTCTTTACAAATACATGTACACATACATAAAAAACTAAATGGAAACAGAGAGATTGTGTAAAAAAAACCTCCAAGTCTTTGTTAGAAAGAAACCAATAAAAAAATAAACTAAGACAATATCCTCAATAATATTGTGATAAGCTTGCACAGTGACAGGTGATTACTAGGTTTAGTGAAGTGACTGCATTACAATGTATATAGATGTTGAATCACTATGTTGTACACCTGAAATTTATATAGTACTGTATACAAACTATACTTAAACAAACAAAGAAAGGAATAAAAAATACTTTGATAACACTATCCAAGAGCAAGAAACTTTCTGGTGTACAATATAGTGAAAGTTATAATACTGTAGTCCAAATTTAACTTAAAATAAATTAATACACATGTAAAGCGAAAAAGGTAAACTGAGAAATTTTAACAGAGATTCTAAATGGCTAATAAACCCACACATTTCCTTACATAGCCTCACAGGCAATGAAATAATTATAAACTGAATGTCATCAGCATATTAATTTTCTCCTACCAGATAAATGGGTTTTTTTTCATTTGAGTAGCCAGAGTGAGAGAAGATGCTGTGAAATATATTTCTCATGCACTGCTACTACAACGGTGTACTTGTGAGGCTTCCTTGATTCAGATCTTTCTCATCCATAGGGAGACATAGTCTAATAGGCTCCATCATAAAATTTGTAACTGCCCTCACATAATACTGTGTGTTCCTCCACAGCTAACTATCTGTCTATTCCTGATCATTGAATTTACGTTCCACTTATACTGGAACGATCACACCTCTAATTCCCTCTCTTAATATTTCTTCAATTAAAACCACTTAGATGTCAACAATGACACCTGCATTTCTGAGTATGATGTTCACTTTCCTTTCCACATCATGAATAAACACTCATTTATTAGTAAAGCCAGCCAGCAACCACAGTGATCACTGGTATCTATCTGAGCTATGTTGGAATGGTTCTCAGGTGATTTCAGGTACAAGTTCTTGGTTCCCAGTCTCTCTGATCCGCTCCTACCATGTCTGCTGGGCTCTCAGACTCACCTGCATGAGAACTCTGACAAGAAGGTTTCCCTGCAAGACTCCAAAATCTTCCCTGGGTGGTTGATGATAGAGACCGAAACTGTCCCAGACAAGACAGCAAGGAGTGGTCAACCATTGGTCCCCCTGCCAGATTCAGGACTCCAAGAGCAACAGCCACCTTTCTCCATCCAAAGGTTGCCCATGCTGAGATGCGACAGTACAGGGGCTACTTACAGCTCTCTAGGTCTACTCATTAGGCACATTTACTTCTCAGCACTCTAACCTCTAAGCACAGAATTCCCCTTGGGGACACTGGTCTGAACAGAATAGTTTCCCTGCTGATCCTCTGTTCCTAGGAGACTATGGAATAAGCCATCTGAGTACAGTTTTGATGAGTCCTTCTCCATTAACTGCCCTGCTTCCTAATGTCTGTCTACACCTCCCAACACCTCATCCCAACTCTGTGTTGAAGTTTCTGAATGGATGGACCTGAAGGGTATTGTGCTCAGTGAAATAAGCCGGTCAGAAAAAGACAAATACCACATGATTTTACTTGTATGTGGAATCTAAATAACAAAATAAATGAACAAACAAAATGGGCACAGTCTCACAGACACAGAGAGCGGACTTGTGCTTGCCAGGGGGGAAGTAAGTTGAGGGACTGAGAGAAAAAGGTAAAGAGAGTTAGAAGTACAAATTGGCAGTCACAGAATAGTCTCTGGGATGTAAAGCAGAGCATAAGAAACATAGTTCATTATATTTTAATAACTATGTGTGAGGCCATTTGGGTACTGGAAATACCAGGCAGGACATGGTGGGAATGAGGGGCAGAACACTATGTAAAGTTTATGATTGTCTGACCACTGTGCTGAATAACTGTAACCAATGCAGAAAGATATTAAAAGTAAACTGTGACTGAAAACAAAAAGTCTTATTCTGAGAAACTTGTCTGACTTGTCTTAGGTCTTCAAAGCACTGATTTACAGTGGGAGACACCCCTGTTATTACAATTACAATTACTAGAAAATTACAATTTTTCTCTTTAGGAAGGAGAGATATTTGTTACTTTGCTACAAAACCTTGGGCACTATCCTCCTAGGCTTTATGATTGTTCAGCCAAAACAATTAGGGATTTCATAGTGAAATCACAAGTTAAGAGATGCCATTTGGTCCCTCATTGTAAAATGTTTATAAAATATAATAGATACATTTAGATTTCAGGCACCATAGCCCAGCTAAGTGTTTTGTAACAACTGTCAAATGTAAGTTTCACAGAAATGCATTTTATGAGGTAGTGCACTGAGAAGCTACCTTTTCCAGTGCAGAAAAGGGGAACAGAGGGATTTATTGTTGCGCTCAAAGGTATAAACCAAGAAAGGGATGGAGTTTTGATTGCAACCAGTCATGTGACTTCCAGTTTGTAGATTCTGGGCCAATGCTTCTCAAATAGAGATGACTTTGCCCCTGGGGATGTTTGGAATTTCTGACATTTGGCTGCTAAACACCTGCAATGCACAGGACAGCACCCAACAGACAATTACCCAGGCCCAAGTGTCAACAGTGACAAGGTGAAAACACCTATTGTAGACCAGTACTTGTCCACTTCATTGTGCATACGAGTCACTGTACTTTGGAATTCAAATGCCAGTTCTGGTCTCCAGTGGGCCCAGAGACTGCATTTCTGATGAACTCCCAGGTGATATTGAAGCTGTAGGTCAGGTCTTCTTGTTCTGAGGACCACAGTTTGAGTAACTGACTATTGCCCTGTCTTAGAATTAAATGTGGGTAACTTAGGTCTTCTCCACCAGGAATCTTCTGTGTATATAATTTTGAAAGACAAATTTTCCACTCATTCCATAGAGGAAGGTAAATTCTGTGTTTGATTCTTTTATATTAGAGCTCCAGAGAGACAGGTAATAATTTGTATCTGGGAAAGGCTTAGTGGTAGGCAGAATAAGTTCCTCAAAAGATGTCAACAACCTAATTCAGAGAATTTTGGAATATGTTAGTTATCCCAGCAGGGTAACTATGAGAACAGATGAAATAAAGTTACTAGTCATTTGTCATACAAGGAGACAAGAGACTTGCTTGAATTACACAGGTTGATCAAATGAGTTCACAGTGCTCTTCTAAATATGGAAAGAAGCTGAAGAATTGGAGTCAGAGAGGCAATTGACAAAGCTCTGCTGCTGCCATTGAATATGGATAAACAGCATAAAAATAAATTTTAAAAATGTTGACTGTCAACTGTAATTGAAAAATAAAGAAAAGTTGTTTGCAGCAACTAATTTTAGGATTCTCATTTTAAATAGTTTTAATATTTCAGTTCGAGTTGACATACAATATTATGTTAGTTTCAGGTGTACAACATAGCGATTAGACATTTATATACCTTACAGAATGATCACCCTGATAAATCTAGTACCATCTGACAACACATATAGTAGTTAAAATGTTATTGACTATATTTCTAATGCTGTACTTAACATCCTTGTGACTATTAAGCCTCTCAAGCCATTCAGTGAGCATTGCTTAGGAACAGCGATTTCATGGTAAAATCCCACCTTCAAATAAAGGAGGAAAATTAAAGTCCACGTGGAGATATTCTGCCCCACTCAGTGGTACAGAGAATTCCTCATTACATAAGTGTAAATGTTCTGACCTTGAAGCCTTTGAGGATCTAAGATAGGAAAAATAATTTCTTACTAAAATTATAGTCCTTTAAATCTTTGTATCAAGATTTCTACATTCTCTCCATTTCCTGTTCACTCAAACATTCATTCTGTTTATATCTATTCCCTCCAACTTTCAAGATGTCTTTAGCATAATAAATGGGAATATATGTGATTCTGTGTGCATGTACATATGTGTGCAAACATGCTTATCTGAGAGGAAAACACATACAATTGCACACACAAACACTCCTAAACTTGAACTTTGACTTTCAACTCAATAGAGTATTACAACACATTTTATTTATTCCACACAATATTTATCTGTAATTACAATTTAATATCTCACATTACTGCTAGAAATGAAGAAACTGGTTCAAGGTGATTACATTTTTAACAATAACATAACAAAGGAGTTAAAACTTACACACCTTTACAAAGTATACCCAAATGAAGTCGCGTACTATAAATTCTCAATTTTTCTGTGCCTCACTTAATTAATCAATATA